TCAATAAAGGGTGGCATTTGACTTGGGGTAAAATCAGCAAAACCGGCCCTATCCCTTGACATCTGACCACCCACACACTTACACCACAACCACACGACACATCAAAAAATAAAAAAAACGAAAATACTACGTCCCCTATGAGCCCAACATACGAATCTCAGTCCTGCCACGTGCGCGCAACCAGCGGCAAAAGAGCTATGACGAAGCGCAACATATGCGCGCGTGCTTTTGTCTACCTGTACATGCACACGCTATATAAGTGACAATTAAGTCCACAGAGTGAGGGGCGCCGGGAAAAAGCTTTGTACCTATATAGGAAGGATTGCACAGGTGCACTGTTTGCGTTGTGACTCTGGGGACTATAGGGGGGAAGCGGGCACGCGACGCTGTCGATGACTACGAGAAAATCGGCTGTGGGCATGTGGGTAGCGGGGAATGGACTTATACGTACAGCCAAGTGGCCATTGGCAGTTAATGCGAATGGTTTGCACGTCCGAGGATTCATGGATTCGCTAAAGTTTAATGGTTTTGCGAAACTGCTGTTGGATATGATGAGCTCGAACATGTTTTTTAGCTTGTGTTGCGTGGCTTATTTTATGCTATTGTGCGTAACGCTTGTCAGGAAATTTTTGACCTTTTTTTGTAGTACAAGTCACCAAGTTTCAGATTATTGGATTGAAAGGAATATCACTTTTGAACGATAGTTAGTCTTCAAAACAATTTCGTGACTGAATTTATTGATGCATCAATAACCATGAATGATAATCTTATTGTTTATTATATTTCTTAATTAATTTCCAGTGTTCGTGAAATGTTTCAAGTTTGGGAATAATTCCATTAGTTATCTATATTTCAAACTGGTTGCGTGTTTGAAGTACAAAAGAACTCGAATGCGGCACGTGGACACCCCGTAGCGATTTGATCACTACAATACACCTAAACTTCATTTCCTGTCCTTTGTGCATTGAAATTAAGTCGCTTATTGAATTACCACTTCTGGTTACAAATTTTTTCAGCTAAACGAATGCACGTGACCTTATCGAATAAAACAAATTTCACAAGCTTTGACTATAAAAACGTTTTTACATCATTGTATGCATTTTTCGGTTATTTTTTTTTTCTTTTAATTTTTCATCTCCAACAATCATTTTAAATCGAATTTAGTACCTCAGTCATTAATTTTAAAAAATGTATCATTCTTACTATCTAATAAAATTATATTCACAGACACTAACAACAGCGACAAGTAATTCAAAGTTAACGATAAACATGAGACGATTTATTTTAAAAGCAAAGTGAAGCCAACCTAGCAATCTAGCTGCCACCCCTTGTAAAAAAGGATGTGATTCGCATTCGAAAAAAAAAATTCTTTGAATATTATTTTGTTTACGTAGAAAAAATGTTTACACTCTAAAAAATTATTTTCCATCAACACAGAATTGTTATAAATGATTAAAATTGAAATAAAATAGTAGTAGATTTTATCGATGTACAAAAATCATTGATCATACAATCATTATTAAATTAGAAGTTGATATCGTAAGACGGTGAAGCAAGACATTGTTTTTTACAGATATTTATACATGAAAAGCGAGTTAATGTATATAATTAAATAAAGGATATACTTGTAAAAATATGTATATATTGTATAATGCATCATAATTGTATTTACATAGTGACGGAAGATACATTCAAATACAGATACTTTTTTTTTTAATCACAACTTTTTGTCACACCATCATATCGAATAAAGTTTTTTAAATAAATGGTGTCAGTANAAAAAAAAAAAAAATACAAAACAATACGAATTTTACTCACTTCAATACTCGTATTGTTCATCAGTACTTCAGAAAATATTCAACTTCAACTCCTATGCAGTCCCTCCATGACAAGTCACTTTGAAAATAAAAAAATGTTCTCAAACACGTTCAACAATTATGCCCCAAGAGCAGCGGCAAGTGTCGATCATCGGTGTAGATCATCGGCAGAAGTAGAATCCACGAATCAGTAGAACAGCTCGGCCTTTAGTCCGACGTCTCGGGAGATCAAGAGATCATCGAGCTAATCGTGCCCGAGTCAGCGAGTCAGCTTTGCCAAGCGCGCGAACAAAACAAAGTGCGAGCCACAATTTCCGCATCCGATCGGCCGACATGAGGACTTTTTCGAGCAAGGGTTGCTCCCTTTGGGGGTTGAGCTCTCGAGTGCGATGCCGTGGCTCATTGGTAGCTGGGCGGAGTCGCGAGGCGCCGCCATTGGACTGGTCGAGGTTTCGAGGGACGCCGAAAGTCAACTGCGCGCCCGTGGCGGTGGCCTCGCACGGGAGGAAAGAACAGGAAAATTATTGTCGATTTGTCGGGGGCAGCTTCATTTTTCATGCGGTCGGCTGTCTGCGGACTTATCGATTTCAGGTGAGGCACTTGCCTGTCGCTTCCCCGTCAATTTTTTATTCGGTGCGATTGTCGGAGTGAGCAGTTTTCCAGAGGGTGGGTGCCTAAGTACAAGCTTACCTATATGCTGGGGTGCAAAATAGTTGAACAAAGTTTTGTGGATGATACAGAATCATGAATTGAAATTTAAAAAAAAAAACTGGTGGTTTTGTATTGTTTTAAATCTTCAAACTTTGTGTTGGATACTTAGCTTAAAGGGTGAATGGAGCACTTTCAATGAAATCTTTGTTTGGCGAATTCAAAACAATTTTTACAATTTGATGTTGATTTTTGGATTTCAACGTGGAGGGAAATGGTGACTGTGGAAAAGTTAAATTTATTTCTGATTTATGATGTTTGTGTTGAATGTTTTATCCTGAAATGTCAAATGAAAAACTACATGCTGCAGTTAATAACTTTCAAAAACAATTTGATATCTTTTAGGTAAAAATTTACGACGCAAAGAAAACGTATTTTTATAAATCTAAAAATTATGCGTGTAGAAAATTATTCCAGAATACTTTTCAAAATGAAAACAATTTATTTTTCTATTATTTCCGTAGACAATTATTTGGAATCTGTATAACATCCTAAAGTAAAACCTGTTACACGAAAAATACATAAAAAAATTTTTTTTTTATTTACAGTGTGAAAAATACTTGAAATCCATTATTAAAAAAAAAAAAAAAAAAAACATGAGCTGGAACATGCAGAGTACAGAGTCAATTAAATCCAGTTGTACATCAACTAGTTTATAAAAAATAAGAATGTTATGTTAGATAATATAAATAATGCTGTATACATAAATTAGTAATCTTTATTTATCACTCTTGTTTTATACATTATGATTAAACGCGTACACACGAACATCTACTACAGACTGACTTTCGTGACACATAACACAGAGTATTAAGTGAAGAGTTTACTTTAAATATTTTGCGGTAATACAAAAAATACCAAGTATAATTATTACTACAATAAGAATAATACAAACTAGAAAGAACGTATTCGCACTTGTTTGGAAGGACATAGTTCATTATTCTTGTGAATTGCTCTTATGCATGAAATACAATAAAAAAAGAACTCGTAAATGGGCTGGTCGTTCTTATGTTGGTACTAAGTATACTCCTATCAAAAAAAAATTTGATTTAAATTATTCGTTCCAATCAATTATATTTTTTAAACTGAAAGTAATACAACCTCTGTGACCATGCCAAATAAATCCAAAAATTATTACACTTCAAAATTCAATGCGTTTTGTTATTTATGATATAACAACATGCTTTAAAAATTTTATGTGAAATATTTTCTAGCAAAAGTAGAAAACATCCACATAATGCCCCTATTCCAATAATCATAAACAGAGGAATAGCTTTGGCTACATCAACATGAATCAACTCTTCCTCGGTCTAGAAATAATAATTAGAAATTAGTATCTCTATATTATTGTGATGCGTATGTACGATATAATACTAACATCATATGCAGGCAAATAAAATTCAAGAGCTGTAAATCTTTCAAATATACCAGATTCTTTCATTTTTGCGATACTGTTGAGAAAAATTATGATTAGGAAACTTGATCGTTATGTTTAATACATAATTAAAATTTAAATAACTATGAGTGCATTCAAGGTCATTCAATGGGTATACATATTTCAATTTGAAAATTTGTTTATCTATTTTTAATAAAATTTTACGTCAATCGAATATAGTTAAAATACGAACAGACAATTTAATTTTTTTCTTAGAAGACTTTTTTATACCTACAAAGAATACAGAGCATGACCATCACTTTCTAGAAAATATTAACAGTGTTTGAGATAGTTTTTAGAAATATGGTCAAAGAATGCCCTTTATTTATACTTAATAATGAGTCAAAAAAAAAAAAAAAAAATGAATAAGATGTGACAAATTTTCAAAATGACAAACAATATAATACGTATTGTTTTGAATATAAGTTGAAGCTGTAAGCGCTTACTTGTAATTAATTATGTGTCGAAAAGGACCTCTTTGCTGCATAGCCATTGCGATCACTGTTCTCTCTATTGAGTCCAAGGGTGAAAATTGACAAGGAATTTTTCTTTGCAATAGGTTGAAAACAATGTCAGTGGACAAAAATGCGTATCGTCTTCTTGAAGAGACGTTAGTCAGACCTTCCCAATTATTTTTTAGTAAGTTTGTATAATAGTCGAGAGTTTTATTAAAGATATTATTAATTGTCTCGTCAGTTGAAGTCTGTGGTAAGAAAATAACGAGATAATTAGATAAAAATAAACCATCAGGGTTACAGTGATGTGACACACTAAAAATTTAGTTGTAAAAGGTAATTGTCGGTAAACGGCTAATTTTCTTACAATTTTACTGAAACTATGAGCAAATTTTCACTTGAAAGAACCATTTATACATAGTCAAAACATTAAAAGGCCGTCATTTTTTTCAAAACATTCAAAAACTTTTATAGTTTGCACGAAAAAATAACCACCTTATAAATGTATACACAAAAGTTGAAGACTTTTGCCGAATTTTTTTTTTTTTTTTTTTTTTTTTTTTTAAATGATAATAAATCCGACAATTAGCTTAATACACTACTATTCGTTAAGTCATGAAGTTTAACCATCAAAGATCTGTAATCAGCAGAATTTGGCATCACGCCTAATGTGTAACCTCCTTTTCCTAGATAGCCCTTTATCGTCCGGGAAGATGTGTCATCTAATTTTAGTGTTAAAAATCCATAAAGGGCGGCAGAATATGCAGCCATGATAACTACGCCGGATATGTGAACCGTAAAGTTTAATAATCGTATAGAATCGATGGTTACGCAGTCGAAACCTAAAAAATACATACGATTTTCTTCATCATACAGTATTTTGCATATAAAAAGAGGTAGCTTTATAATCAAACTTTATCATTTTTTACTTTCAGCTTTTTAAATATTACAATTGTTACAATAATTTTCATCGTTAAAGTCTTAAGTCATAAGCACATTGTAAATTATAGCAGATAAAAAAAAAGTAATATTTTTTGTTGAAAAAATAAGGGAATTCCTCGTATGCATGCCAGAAACGCCAGAATAAGAAAGGAATGAGCTTTATGGTTCGAAGAATACGTAGAAGGAGAGCACTTAAATTCAAGCACAAAAGGTTAAACAAATAACTCATTGCTATAAATAGATATTATTATTCTTATGTTTATAAGTAATAAGATTTATAATTAATAGTTGTTATTTGGATGTAAAACAATACCCTATGGGAAAGTTTAAGGAAACTTAGCAGATCCAGGTCCCTCAGACTTTTAGAGTATTGATTTTTTTTCTTTTTAGTAAATTGATTGCACATCTGAGTCATTTCATTTTTATTGGATGATTTTGAAAATTACCTTGAGCGCATAAGGCCCCAAAATACTGGAAAACCATGTTGATGGCTGAATGACTTTCAACCTCCTGTTCCTGGAAAGCTTGCCACTTTGACGATATTTTACAGCTGAGAGCAGTCAGTCCGCTGAATATGATCAAAAAGATCAAAATGCTCACCCAAACGTCAAAAGGAAAAGGATCGATGTAAGCGGTCCACTTAATTTCTTCTTTGCTAGGATTTTTTATGAAAATACGGCTCCTATGCAGATATATTTCTTTGCATTAAATGGGTTGCATTTTATTTAAATGTAGCAAGGTATACATCTACATGCAATAACCACATGCACCCACTTGGACAAAAAAATCGGAAAAGTAAATTCGATCACGTTCATTTTATCGATAGTCATTATCAGCCCGTTGGCTGCCAGATCAGCTTCATTCCTCTGGAGCAAACCGATGACTCCGGTCCACGAACCATTGGTTAGTAGTGAGCCTTTGCAGTCACTTTCGATGTATTTTAGACTGGAAAAGTGCAATTTTTATTTCCGTTATTACATTTTACAACATTTACTCCAATAATCACCCGAAATCGTTTTAGAAAAAAGTCTTACGTAAGATTTAAAGTTTTTTTAAGATCTTTAACGATTATTCCGAAGAATCCTTCGATTCCGACTACATTACCAAAATCGTCTCTCTGAATCAATGAAAGGGGTGGATCCTAGAACAAAATTAATGCATAGCATTAATATGTACAGCACAATTTCTACATTCAACAGGATGTTATATATTTGATGTACAAATAATTAAGTAGTTGATAAGTAAAATATGATGCCAAGCTACCAGAATAATATAGCCCATCGAAAGAAAGTTTATTTTTTGAGTAATTCGTGAGTGACAGATTAACGGAGACTCTGTACAGCGAGACCCTAAGAAGTCGTATGTGAAGTATCCTGTCTCTCACACTTTCATGTATTTTAGACAACCAGTTATAGATAAATGTATCTTCTGCTCACTTGGTACCTTGTTAACGTAACTCCCCACTCATAATCGAAACATTGACGTGCAAGGTTAAATAGTAGATCGAAAGCTGCTCTTCACCCAAGATACTAACCAGGTATAGTTCCAGCTGATTTTTACTTGCTCGATAAAATCTAAATTAACTTGTTTTAGTAAACGTTAACCAAGTATGAACGTGGTAGGTTAATTGTGAACATATCGTTATGTCAAGCTATTTTTTGAGGGAATACAATTCATATACCAAAAGTTCATAGAAAATTTCATACATTTTTTATTTACTTTTTCGCACTTTAACACCACTAATTATAAACGTGTGAGAAGTTAAAAAACCTCCCAAAAATTCGTACGTCAATAATTAGTTAACGTACCACGTTTACTATCACCTTTGTTTCGTTCAGTGTAGAGATCGTTTTGAAGATAATTTTAATGTATAAACATGGTTTAATTTTTCAAAACTCAATTTGAAACTATAAAATATGTTTGACATTGTATTTGTACTCTTAATGACTACTGTGTAAGTTTCTATTGTGAAATAATTTTTTTTGGCATTTAAAAATTGAAAAGCACCTGTATTGAAGCCACTCGAATCAATTGTCCCTGAAGATCTGTTCTGCGCTCATTGAGACTCAAATTGATTTTTTCCAACCCTTTTTTCTCGCTCCAAATTCCAAAAAAACTTTTTATTGTTTCTCTGCCTTGGGCAATATTGTAAACTTCAGTAAGTTGTAGATTCCTGTTTCCTGGAATTTTCTGCACCATGAGAAAAATGCAGTCAAAAGGCACGTAAATTTTTGAAAAAAATTTTACGCCATCTGTTCCTTCGTTGCAAAAAACCATCCAAGTCATGTCCGTTATTGAAATTAAGGGAGATATCTCCTAGGGGCGTTAGTTAATTGGTAATATATTTTAATAATGAAAAATATAATAGCTGATTTAACTAATACAATTTAAAAAAATTTTTTTTATTGAAAAATATAATCTAATTAATTGAATAACAATGTTTGAAAGACAATGATTTTTGGAATTCTGTCTAAAAAATGAGTCTTCACGTACTATTCAAGTATGCAAAGTAATTTTAAATTTTCTTCATAGTTCATGCACGTGATAATTGTGATGTAATAATAATTGGATAGAGGCCCCACTAGGGGTAAGAAATACACTTGAGAAGCATTTAAATAGACTAGGTGAGAAAATAAATGTTTACTGAACAAAAACAAGCAGCCTCTCATAATATGTGTACCTTTTAACTGGAAAATGTAAATAATGAATGGATTCTAATTACTGAACAGATACGCTACATATTATAATGAAGAAGAAATACTTACTTTAGAAAACTCCTCCCTCATTTCTTCGGAATCGTTGATTAAAACAATCAATGAATGCATAATTTGTACATCATTACTTTTTATCTGAAAAAGAGCAGTAAATGTAAATGTTTGACTTTTGAAATATTAGCTTTTTTACGTTGAGGTGTAAAACTCCAAAAACATACTTTGTTTGCTTTATAAACATTTCTACCCAAATTTTGCAACGATCCTAAAATCTGTCTAATAATTGTTTAAGTTGTATGAATGGGTTCTTACCATATCCTTAAAAGTCTTGATAGCAACAGCAAACGAACGAACGTGAAGTCTTGTGATGTAGGATAGAATTGACATAAGCTGCTCAGTTTCATCAAAACCTTTTAAATAATCAAAAATTAGTTAAACACTATGTTTAGTATAGCTCGTGAAAAAATCCAAAGATTAATCCCTAAAAACTGAAAAAATCAATTTCTCCTCTACTTACTATGGGCATGTACTGGATCCTCGTTTGTATATAAAAATATTATAGATGGAGTCTTAAAAACATAATATATATCTTTGACTACTTCTTTATAAATATGAGATTCCATAATCAGTTGAGCATTAACATAAAAACTTGAATAAACCACTAGCCATATATTTATTGCCATAAGCATTAACTTAAACGAATAGAGGGCCATTTTTATTTGTCCGTACAATTTTTATACCTCTAAGTATGACATCTTGAACAAATGACGCTATTGCTCTGGACTAATTTATACCTCTGAATAATATGCTTTGGACACAATATTTTTTTTACAACTCAGCAAAATAATATTGCCACATAGTTGACTAAGAAGTATACACACTATGATAAAATAAACTGATAAAATAAATTATAGCGTAATTTGAAAGCTTTGTATAATGGAACGATCGATTCTAGCATATCATTTAGAGTTTCATCGCATTTAAAAAATGATTTTTTTATTCTTATGGAAATACATTTAATTTTTTTTCGATTAGTAAAAAGATGTACTTTAAGTTTTTTAATTATTATTTGGCTTTCGAGTCGTTTAAAAGTATGTGTCAAAAAACATGATTTGACGTTCAAGAAACAATATTAAAAAATTTCATCATATACGCTTGTTCTAACAAATTCAAAATCATAAAATTATGTTTTATCGTTTAGATGACAGATTAAATTAGATGTTGGAATATTTTACCTCTTTCCAATACTTTTTTCAGTATCCTCATGCGCTACAAGAAAGTTTTTATAATTTTCAATAATTTTGCTAAAATTTTTGACGTACGATACTATAAAATTGAGTGAATTCATTGTACCTCAAATTATACCTAAGGAGCATGGATTTGTGACTGGTATAGATATGCTGTTTAAAATCGTTTTATTTATTATTTTTATATTGCTTCTGCTTTAAGCAGATCTGCTCAGGTTGATGCTAAGTATTTATTTAGATTTTAAAAAAGCTTTTCATTCGGTTTCACATGATAGACTTAGTACTTGTAAGTTATTCAAAATAGAAATGTGTTTCATATATTGAATTTATTAAGTCGTAGTTAATTAATAGGATTAGTTATGTCAATTTAAAAGGAACCTGATCTAAATTAGGGTATAAATAAAAACACTAGTAATCAGTAGCAATTTTGTCTTGTATGAATACGGTCAAATCGAGTAGATGTTCAGCATCATTCATTATTTATGCAACTAAATGATCACCACAACCAAAAATGTGGTTCCGGCCGGGATCGAACCGGCGACCTTCTGCGTGTAAAGCAGACGTGATAACCACTACACCACGGAACCACGTGTCCGATGGAACACAAATGCTGTACAAATTGAAAGCTACACATAAGACGCATAAACTTTTTTTTTCTGTCAATGTACTTGAAGTAACTATATTTTCTTTTATTAAAAAAATTTATATTTACAAACAATTTAACAGAAAAATACTTATTTGTAACCAACAACAGATAAGGTAGAAAATTTTAATACTGATAAACCGTACATAATTAATTATTTATCAAATTTTTAGAAACATCTTTTACAATAATTTATTTAACAACTTCACAATCAAATATATTTCTATATAAATTAAAACTCAGTAAATTTTCAGACACTAACATACCTTAGTAATAATTTCATTTGGACGCATAGTACGGCATCTGAGGTACGTAAGAAAAATTAAAACAGTGAGAAAATCACTTTCTTCTTGACTTTATGTTGGTAATGTATAGTACGTAGGTAAGTGTGTGGTATTTGCTTAGACAAAATAATGTACTAAAATTATATAAATAAAAAAAAGACTATCATACCTCTTGTATTATTTTTTTGTTTGCAAGACAAGTTTTTTGGCTGTATCTTGAAAATTTTAAAGACTTACACATTCAGTGTCAAGAAAAATTTGTAGATTAAAAACAATAGTTATTTACGTAACAAGTGCGGAAAAGACGATTTCCGTACTTGTTACGTAAATAAGTGTGTATAGTACGAGTGTGGTCGCAAGGCACGGAATACTGTCACCAGCCACGAGTGTGAGTCCATCACACGAGTGTGGAAAATCGTCCCGCACGAGTTGCGTACAAGATTTTTCGCAATAAGTGTGGGGAAAATAGTAAATAAGTTGATTATTTGCAAAGAAGGTTGTGCGGGGTCCAGGGGATCCGGCTGCAAAAATACCAAATGATCGTCCAAAAAAAAAAAGTGTTTTTATGCCTCAAATATAGAAACAGAAATTTGATTAAATAAAAATTTTATTTTAAAAATTAAACTTTGAGTTATTTAAACAAAAACAGTTTCAAAGAATTTTACAACTGCAACAAATTCTGTTGAAGGATCCCACAACAATACAATGGGATTGTGGTTCCCAACGAAATTTTCTAAAATATTAATATGATATAGTTTTATGGAATTATCAAAAAAAACTCGTTAAGAAGAAATTTTATTTGAGAGTAGAAACTAACACCGGATAGGGTTACGGTAGTTGTACACAGACGGTATCTTCATTCGTTTTCCGAGAGATTTCTGGTGTGTAGCGAAACTTTTTTCGGTGTACAGAAAAACCTTTGCCGCACACTATGCGGAAAATATATGCCGCACACTATGTAGGAAAATCGATTTTCCACACAAAAATAGTGCAGAAAACACTTATTTTCCGCACACTATTGCGAAAAAAAAACTTTTTTTGATATTTTTGATTACTTTTTTAGAACTATTTTGATACTTAAAAAGTCGGAGAACACGTTGAAAAATTTGAAAAAAATCTGTTCTTTTGCCTTATCTTTCATAGTTACTAGTGGGAGTTTTTCTGCGATAAAAAAAATTTATAAATCTTACTGAAATACAATTTTTTCATACAGTAAATTTTTATCCTAATTGTAATTCTCATGGTCTAAAAACCAATTAACATTTGAAAACGTTAAAAAAAAGAGGTTTTTGTCTATAACAGTACAAAGTTGACATTATAACATAAAGTTGAGAATAAAAAAAATTGTAGATTATTACAGTTAAAGTGAAGTGTTCATTTATTTTAATCAAATAAAAAAAAAATTATTAGTGATCTTTAAGGGACAACATTAATTATCTAACAAACATTGAATAATATTGTAAAGAACAGTGATATAATACATAGTTTGAATTGTCTCCCTAAACCGAAAACACGTAGATTTTGAGATATAATAACTTTTCGTACAAGACATTACACACTAATGTTTCTACTAACCTTTTTTTTTGTTCCTAAATTCATAAGTAGTATCGTATTACGCAAAGGCATGGTCTCTCAATTAATTCAGTGCACAAAAACTTAACCCGTATAAATTTTATTCGTAGCAAAGTTACAACGTAATCTTATGAGATAGTTTCACTACAAAATAATTATTAACAAATATATTTTGTCTGACATTTCATATTTATTTCATACATAGGCATATGACCAGTCAATTAAATAGTATAGTCACAAGGTGCGTATAGTACCTACGATCCTACGAAATTTCGATACAGGTAAGTATCAAAATACAGGAGAGAGAAACATAGAACACGTCGCCATAACAACGGAACTTGCTTACCGTGATCAGCTTTCACTAGATTCTATCACACAGGACAGTGCGATTGAATAGCAAATTGGTAATTCCCAATAATTATGATTTTAAGAAAATGATAGTTAGAGAAAAGTGTGGATGTGAAAAACACGAGAGCAAATCCAATGGCGAGTGCGCTTCATTGACGGGACCCAAGACGGGTGACATTTACCGGACGTACAACATTCCCACCCGCTTCATGTATCCCAGTAAGTAGCTAAAATTAATATATTGAAACAATCGTTTCATTTTAACACTATAGCATTTTTTGCTTAAATTATTATCCATTACAAATATTAAATAATTTTCTTTTGTGGAAAATGGCTTACTTGAATGATATCGTAAAAATTAGAATAATTATGATGAGTTTATGAAACATGTTATTATCAATGAGTGTTTTATTCATTCACTAAATGAATTTGCATGAGCTGTTTATAAAATATGACTTGAATAACAAGCGATTAATCAAATATCCATACAATAATCCATTTGAAACGTTTTCCTGTAAAAAACCTTTTCACATGACATCGTAAAAAAATGCAGGTTAATATTTATAATAAAATTAATTCAATACAATAACCATGACAAAATAAATCAGTGCAAGTAGATAAAGATTTAAATTAACTCTTAAAAATTATTAGTATCGTAGACAGTTTGCACGCGTGATTAACGATTCAACAAAATTATTGCAGAGTAAAAAAAAACAAAATGTTAATTTTCTAAAAAATTTTCAAATCACAAAAAAAAAACACTAACTTTATCGAAGGGAACCTAAAATAAAGCAATTGATCCTAAGTTAATAAAACTACCACCAACTCTCCCCACGAAGCGAAGTAAAAGAGGTTTATAAAGTTCAAAAATAGAATCTGTTCTTTCGAATTTTCAGAGCTATTTCGAGGCTACAGGCAGCTGGAGGCAGGCGCCAGTCCGCACCCGTGCTACCGCAGCACTTCGATGGATTACGGCTGGTTTGCACCGACTGTTCACACGGTACCGACGGCCTACTACCCGCGCGACGGCTCGTTCAGCGTCGAAGCCGGACGCGGTGGCATGTACCGCAATTGCTCGCTCAATACCGAGCTGGACAAGTAGCCCATCCACTCCGTCTCTCTCTCTCTTTTCTACGGTCACCTTTTCCTTGTACTGTTGTGGAGATATCGGGGGATCTTGAACCGCATGATGCTCCTTTTGTTTTCAAGACAAGGAGGGAGAGGAGCGACGCTGCGGTAGAGATGCGACTGTAGAGAATCAGAAGTTGCCATATATTAGTCCTGATGAGTGGTCCTTGGCTGAATTTTCTTTCTTTCTTTTTTTTTTTTTCTTTTTTTTTCCTATTGTAAGTTCAATACTTTTCTCAAATTCTTTGCTACTTACTGTATGTGAATCATGAAAATTAAAAATTATTTCATACCTTTTTCATTTGAATTTTATTATTCCAAGCTTTTACTTCAACACAAAAAAAAAAAAAGAACCGAATTTATAAATTTTCTAATCGACTTATGCTTACTTATTTCTTTTGCATTTTATCAGGATTAAGTTGCAGGTTTCTCTGTTGTCTAGCATTGCAGGATGGTGAAGAAAAAAAAAAAAAAAAAAAAAACCCTAAAGTGAACACGTCCAGCGAAGTGAAAGAACTGAAGCTTCCACTTGGGTTATTTGAATTTTTCAACTAGTACTTGTTAGTATTTTTAAGTTGCGTGCGATATCAAAGGAGAATTGTGGAGAGCCGAGAAAGTCACGATCGTGCTACCACTTGAATAAATCGCTTGTCTTGAGTAAAACAAAAGCAGGGAGCTGCCAAGAATTTTTACTTGGCAAATGTGGTTTTTTAGACGTGATATATTAAACTAATAATCGTTCCAACAAAAACATCCACATGAAAAAAAATTTTAAATCTTATTCTTGTTGTACTTGAAAATTTTATACCTCAAAAACAAGTCTTTCTTTGGCAATTGCAGTTATTACTACATCGAGTGATTTTTGTGAACTTAGATATAAATTTTCGTGTGTAAATGCAATATTCACTCGACCTAATGATGGCAGTTGTGGATAGGAAAAAAACGTCAAAAGAGACGATGCCAGCGGCAAAGTAGCAAAAATAGTGAAGACGGCCAGATAAGATGTACCCTACTTACTGGACGGACGTTGAGGGGCAGAAAAAATGGGTAAGTAGTGCGAGCTTACGACAGGGCAGACGCAATGCTGTGGGTAGTTTGGTTTTTTTTTTTTACCGACACAGCCAAAGGATTTGAATGTATCAACCTATTTTTAGATTTGCAGAAAAAGTGACAATGAATTTTATGGGAATATATATATATTCTTGTTGTCCCTTTCCGTGATATCCCATCCAAACAAACTTTCATACAGACATTTTATACCCTACTTATCAGTGGAGCAGTTAGATATATGTTCCTGTAGTGTCCAGTAGCCTTAGAGAATCCAAAAGTGACCGTCCACTTGTATATTATTTAGAAAAATCTCTAGAATGGATACAATAGAGTTGCCCCCTTGATCCACAAGTTACGGTAACATTATTCAACAATGAACATCTGTAAGATTGTGGCCAGAGAGTTGCTGTGAGACTCAATAACCATTTCCTGCTTTTTTCTTTCATGTATGGAACTATAGAGGTACGACGACCTTTCATTATCTTCAGGCTCGAGGTAACTGTGATCAGTTAGTGCCCGATCAAGTTATCCCTGCTTTTTCATGATGTATGTTGTTCTTTTTATTTCTATTTAGTAAATTTTATCTATTGGCCGGGACGAATGATTGACAGATTTTTTTCACTGTAGTGCACCCCTCCTTGATCTAAACTATATGGAGTTGTAACATGACCGCTAGAAACCTTTGAACTAGACAGCAGTGGTTTTATCGTTCGAGCTATTATATAGCCCATCTTTTACTCCATACACTCCCAACGTATAAAGGAGTCAGTCGAACATGGGTTTTCACATCAATGAAAAATGTCTCAAAAAAAGTGCTAAAACGAAAATAAATCACTAGCTATGGACGAGAACCTACTGGGAAATTCTTTGATGGCACGATTCGTGCTTACTAGAGTGATTTATGCCAATAAATACCATGTCAATGCTAGTAGAGATTGTATAATTAAAACGTATAAGTAAAAAGGCATTAACAACGCACATATACTCTAATCGTCTTATAATAAATAGAAACAATTATAATTTCACAAACGAATACAATTACTGAGCGAGAATGTGGAAAATTGGACTAACAAGTTTTTAGGAGCATTGCGTGCAGATCGTAAATCAAAGAAATTAATCAGCCCATCTGACGATTCTTATCATTAAAAAATGTGTGCAACTCATTGCCAGCAGTCTCCCCCATCTGAATATTTTCAATAAACGGTCCCCCAAAAGTTGGATCAACTGGTTTCCCTCCGGACCCTCTCTGACTTTACGCCCAACATCTAATCATCGTGGGTATGAAACTCTCATCTCCTTCTCTCTCTCTCTCTCTCTCTCTCTCTCTCTTCGCAACAAACTCAACTCTAGACTCTTCAGAAAAAAAAGTTTCCCTTTCCAACATGCCGTCCCCAGGGTGCTCATCCAGCATTTCTCACATGTAAAAAGCTCGATTTTTCCGCTCGAGCGAGAACCCCAGCGACTCTCCCTTCCTCCCCTTTGACTTTGGGGTACTACGAGCCTACCGGAGGGTCTTGCCGGCGCTATATCGATCCCCCGCTCTTGCGCGCTCCCATTCACACCACTACTCTCCTTCCCGACTTTCCCGCCTTCCATTCTCTAATCTCCCCCCTCCCCCTTGCACCCTGTATGTGTTTCCTTCTTCGTCCCAAAACCATTCCTCACGTTCTTTATGCGAGAAGCTCCTTTCCCTCCCTTTTTTTTTTTTTCTTACAAAAATACCCACAGTCACTCGTTTATACAGTACAACCACCCAAGCCAGCGCTCGCAGGAGGATCTGGCGCAGGCGCGTCAATATTGAACGGAGGGTAACCTGGGCGGCGACCCCCTCGTTCCTCTTCTCTGTTCGTGTACCCAAGAGGGAGCTTTCGGAATGAGGCCGTCGTCATCATCCCTCATACACAGACACACACCCGCCACACTTTCAGGTAAGCGCGCGCAGCTCCTCGGAAAAGCACCGGCTAGATGGCGCTGTGGTCGCTCGACGGGGGCAGCGTTCAGGGGTTGCTGTCTCTTTCTCTTTGACTAGAAAAAGGATCCCTCCAGAGGGGCAGTGGAAGAGAGAACGGCGAGGAAAAGGAGCAAACGAGACGCACACATGGGTATAGAACACCGGATACGTATATGTGCATTACTATCAAAGGGTGGTGGCGTCGGTGGCGCCACTCAACGGGTATATATGTAGGTATGTTTGTATGTATACATGTATGGGGTGTATGAGGCTGTGCACCAGTTCGGTTGGGTTTTCAGTAGTTCTACCTGGGGCCTAGCCAGTATATCGTGCGCTCTATCTCTCTCTCTCTCTCTCTACTACCGCTACTATATTGCCACTACCGCCGCGTCTGTCTACCTTTGGTTGGAAGTTTTCATTTTCTACTATACTTACACCCCGTGCGTGAGTTCGAGTCCAAAAAAGATACGAGAGAGGAGTGGGTACTATTTAATTCTCTCACCGAGTTCACTTGTTGGTGGTGCGTTACTTATCTCTACGGATATTTTTATAAGTAGAGGGGAGTAGTTCTCTCCTGCCGCTGTTGCTGCTGTTTACGCGTGGTATCGTGAGAATTAACGGGGAGTTTCAGTGCCTACCCACAAGAAAGATACAAGCTGACTTGAACCTGAACGACTTTGGAAACGAGGTACACGATTGCTATAGGTTTTTGTGATTCCCACATTGGGTTATTGGGTTATGGGGTTCCATTGATAAGACGATGTTACAGCGCGTGGGAAGGATCTGAATAAAGTGTATTAGGATTCAATTTTTTTCTTAAGGATTAAATTAAGGTTTGGACCGATTTTTGGAAATCATAACGATTACGTGCAAAGCCAACACTCGTTCGATGAGGCCCGTGGAAATAATTTTTTTACCCCTGTTGTTTGGAATCTATGTGAGTTAGTTGATTGTTGGTGACCAATAGGCCCCTCGAGTATATTCTTAAAATTGTTTTCGGGTATAACTCCAAACTAACCGATAAGCGTGTTGATGTTTCGTGCAAGTATTGTACATGTAATCGATCTTTGACCTTCTTTGAAACACTGTAAGCTGTATGTTGCGTGCTTACATTTGTCTGGGCACCAAATTTTTGCATAATTAATGCTGATGGCTTCGACTAAATCTATTGATCAAGCTTGTAGGAGAAACTTAGCATTATAGGTGGTTTTTTTTTTAAATTTTCCATTAATGCTGTGAAATGTAGAAGTATAATCAGTTAGGCTATCAGAAATCGATGTGAATTTATTAAAAATATATTAGTGAGTTCCTAATCTTTAAAGCACAAGAAATGTAAGCTGCAAGGGGTTACACCTTCTAGTACTTGTGGGAGAGAACAAAAATGTTGGTGGCCGTGCCTTATCAAAATATATACTGTTCTAAAAATAAATAATTAATCTATCAGATTTTTCTAAGTACGTGTGAGAATCTACTTTAGCATATTAAACCTGTATAAGATTAAACCTTTTTTTCCATAAGTAGTAAACCTTTAACTTCGAGTTAATCGTATGAAGTTCAGGACGTTTCAAGGATTATTTAAAAATTGAAAAAAAAAACTTTTAAAACAACTTTTGGTGTAAGGAATAGCGAATGAAACACACTTCCACCGATTTAATTCTTAAGTGACCGTATAGTGAGGTTTGAGTCTCCACAAGTTCTGCCTTTTTCAATAATAGCTGATTAAATATCTGAACATTTTCTTGATCATTTATTCTCTGGTAACATCGTCTATGAAAACTTTGGTCAACATACTATGAACACTCGTGTAAAGTTGGAAAAAACTTGAAACCATAATTTCTTCATCTATGCTTAAGCAGAGCTAAAAGTTGCTTATCTAATAAGTGGTTGCTAATGAACATAAGGTATCTTCAGTATGTGTTCATAATAGGCACATACCTCTAACTTTGAGTTACAAAAACATCATAAATACGAAC